AAAAGTATAGAGAGGGATCGGTTTGACGTTGCGCTTTCGATCGCTTGCTGCTCGGATGGAGCCCATAAAGGTTCAAAGATAACCCACCGCCGAGTGGTACAATCGGCCACACACACACACACACACACACTTACGCGAGAATCGCACTCGAATCCCTCGAAGCGCGTTATCGTAACGTGTCCTAAGTAGATTAGAGGTCGCGGTGGCGTCAAAGTTTCCCCGAACAATGGGGGTGGGGAGGATAAGGGCACACGCGGAATAAAACTTTTCGGCAGAAGCGATGGGATTACGTCCATCGGGGATGGGGGAGATAGAGCCGAGATGATAAGCGGTACGGGGAGGGGGTGGGAGGGTAATTGAACTTTGGCAATTCGATCGGATGTTTTTCCCGCGCCGCGGGTTTCGCGCTGCTGTTTGTTCGAACGTAATGAATTTTGTGTCGACTGTACAGCCACGCACGTATACGCGCGAGCAGGGGTCGGGGGTAGGGGGAAAAAATAAAGGGAGGAAACGCAGACGCAGTTGCTACGGAATATGTAACGAGAGGTGCACGCGGCTGCAACTTTCGTTCAAGTTTCTCGCGTCTGCCTGCGTGAGTTATGCGTTTCCAACTGCTCGGGATGTATATACTTTTGGCATAATTTCCAAAAGTTCCGTAGGTGTAATTGCATGACGCGCCACCTCTTTGACCGTGAAAGTTTTTCCCTGCCCCCTTGAATGTCCTCCTTGTTGCGCGATTTTTGAACTTGATAAAAATTGTGCCACTTAGGTGCCGTTAAAATCGGTAGAGACGGTCTTTTCGTTGATTTACTGATATCACGAGGTTTTTGTCGACCCATTCGAACCAATTGACTTTTTTATTAGATATAGAAACAGGGTCGGCAAGTTTATTGAATTTATTGTTTTACTCGATGATACAGTCGGTCGTTGAACCGGTTTTATTTTGTCAATAAAACGAATACTGTTTGAGGTATCATCTTTCAACCGAAACTGTGACTTTGACGAGTAAATATTCTTTCCGATTCGCGGTGCAATTAAATAAAACTGAAGTTGCAACGTAAATAAAACCACTATGCAGTTGTATACATTTTTTGCTTAAGATAGGGTACAATAAGTCACATTACGTTGATGCAACGTTCGGTTGAGCGATCGACGGGCTGCACGTGTATAAGTACATATTATATGTTTGTGTTTCAGCTCTGGCTACGGTGGCCGATCGAAAAGCCAGTCGCAGCTGGGCCGTGACCGTCGGCCTGATCCTCTTGGCGTGTGCCTTAATCGCCGGCATCGGATTGCCTTTGGCCTTGGAGCTGCGAAGCTCCAACCTACTGGAAGCTCGGCTGCGGGTAGTCAAGAAAATCCTTTCCAAGACGCCACTCATCGACGGGTAAGTCGCTCAACTTTGCTCGCTCACGTGGGCGTATACATATGTATATGATAAAAACCTTTACTAGCGCTTCCTCGATTTACTTTGCTGCTATTGGCAGAGCGGGTATACACACCCTTTCGAGAGCTCGAGTTCAGCTTGGATTATTCTCCCTCGGCTCTTATTTTCGCGCGAAAGGAGATTTCACGCCTTCGAGGAAATGAATGGATTTTTTTTTTTTTTTTTCCCTCTGAATGGAGTCAAGGAGCGAGGGGGTAATTATATCAGGCTGAGAGCGGCTTCACTCTTAAATCTCTTGGTCCCGTTGGAGTAGAATTGCGTTGGAAAAATTAAAAATCGACCACCTTTTCATTTATTAAATTACAGAGTACACCCTAACACTTTTTAGGGAGATTAAAATAGAAGTATCACTTTCAAATCCAAATTTTTTTTTGCAGTTCATGGTGGACGCGTTATCAGAGAATAAAGTCCGACACTATTTTTTTTCTTCAAAATTATGTTTAACATCGCGTTGTAAAGGAAAAACAAAGGAAAAAAGCCCTCGCGTAAGCAATGCATTACTTGATCAAATTCCCGTAATCTCGTTTGCGCACAACCTTCCTTTTTCATTTTTTTTCGAGACGAAAGTTAAAGCTCGACTTTTCGCGCACTCGCCGTGTTATAAATTTTGCGCCCATCCCGAAATCACTAATGGAATGAGTCCAGGCGCGATATGTGTTTTAAATTTTGGACAAATTAATCAAAAAACGAGTCCATTATCGGGAGGGAAATATAATTGAATACAATCCCGTTTGATTTCATTTCCCTCGATTTATTTTATTTTGTTTTTTTCTTTTCCATTAAACGTTTTTCCTGTCGTTCGTGTAATCAAACAAAATGGATTTTGCCAACCCCTCGCGTTCGATAATGGATTCGTACGCTCGTTAAATTGGGGCAAAAAATTACAATTTACGATAAAACGAAAAAATGTTTGTACCAGCCGATTCGGTTGATTCAAGTGGTCGTTCGCGCAAGCGGGTCGGGGAAAAAAGTGGCAACTCTTAAAGCGCGACGAGTACATTTTTTATCCGCTTCGTCTTGGGCTCTCATCCTCCCTTGGTTTTTCGCGTCCACCGTGAACTTTTTATCAAAGGCTCCGCTTTGAAATTCGCCCGGAAAAATTTCATGCACGACAGAAACAAATGTATAACCCCATTTATTTTTTTTTATTTTTCCATCCCCCATCTGCAACGCGATGGAAGTTAATTAAACTTTTCATCCGTGTATTTATTGCTCGCAAAAAAAAAAGCAATCATACCCGCACGCAGTTTTGCTAATTATTTCTGGTGTCAGACCTAACGGGATGTTAATTAATTTCAACGCGACGTGGCGGTGGAACGAAATTATATACACATTCCCTCGGGAGAACCTACCCTTCAACGTGACGTAAAGCTCTGTGAAATTCATCAAGTAAAATACTTACGGGCGAAATTTTTTTTTAATTTACAGTACAGGCTTTTTCGATTGTGATCGCACCGTAAGGCCCGTCTTTACCTTTTCCCGTGCAGTATATTACACATTGAGGGTATACGTCGAGCGGAAAAAGTAGGTTACTCCCAACAGCCCCATATGTGTATGACCTACAGCTCATCGTTCGGGCTTTTTGATCCCACAGCACTGATTCTCGACGTTCGAGTAATGCATGACTTTCCTAAAAGCTCTCTGCTCCATCGGAAAAGTTGGTCGCTCTCGCGGATTAGGTGATTTATATTAATCTTTTCCTCTTTTTTTTTTTTTTTTTTTTTCTATCCAATATACAATGTGCGCCTCACCACACGCGAAACTCGGGGAAGTTCGAGGGCGTGATTTTTTAAGTTGAAACTTTTTAATCGTCAGGAAAAGTAAAAAAAAAAAAAAAATTTTCTCTCCCATGTCGGCGCGCAGGCACAACAACTTCGCGTGGAACCTGCGCAAGCAGCGGGGCAGCGCGCGGCTGCACGACTTCCCATTCGACGTGGATCTGTCGAAGAACGCGTCGTGGGGCCCAAGCTGGCAGACCGACCTGATAAGGCTGGAGCGGGGGATTGTGGGCGCGCAGTTCTGGTCGGCTTATGTGCCGTGCGAGGCGCAGTTCCTGGACGCCGTCAAGCTGACCCTCGAGCAGATAGACGTGGTCAGGAGACTGGCGGCCAAGTACGCGGGCAGGATGAGGCTGGTGGCGTCGAGCTCCGAGCTGGAGCAGGCCCACAGGGACGGGGTCATCGCCAGTCTCGTGGGGATAGAGGGTGGACACAGCATCGGGGCGAGCATGGCCGTGCTCAGGAGCTTTCATCATCTCGGGGCGAGGTACATGACCCTCACCCACAAGTGCAACACCCCTTGGTGAGTATGTTTTTGGATCTCAAAAATACGTTTCTTCCTTTTTTTTTTT